AGGTTTTTCTTCTTTATTTTGCTCCCGTTGGGTGTTTGTGTGTGTGTGTGCGTTTTATCATACCTAAAAAAAAGCATGCTTGTGCCAGACTGTCGGACTTTCACCGGAGGGCGTCGGTCTTGGGATATCGTTGTGGTGGAGCTGACCGGCTCCAGGTAATGTAGAAGCTCATTCGACTACCGTCTTCCCCCGAACACAACGCACCCTCATTTTGGCTGTATCTGGCCGCAAATATAGCTTGCATGCGTTCAATTTCAGGGTGCGTTATGTTCGGGCGAAGACGGTAGCCCCGTCTGGATTCGAACTCACGTCCGAGTTTCAACACCTGATAGGTGTACCACCTGAGGTTTGTATTTTTGTTCGGGGTCGTTTGGCGGCAACGTCCCACTACCCCAAGAGCGGGTTTGTACTAACAAACAAGTCGCAGGCAGCAGGATTCAGAGCCTGAATCTGCAGGTAGTTTCTGGGCAGGTGCAAAAAGTAGGGCCTGATCTCCTCTTCGCAACTGGAACCTCGCCCGGAGGCGAGGAGGTTGTCTGGTGTGAGGTCCCGCTAGCGAAGCGATTGGATTCAGCGCCTGAATCTCTCTGCAAACATTTTATACTGTGCTGCAGAATCAATCACGTTTTCTGCACCTGTCCGGAAAGACGTCCCGTTTCCTGGCGTTAAATCGAATCCCTTTGCCTTCTAGTGGGACCTCGCCCCTGGAGGCTGGGTTGAGATATCATCACGGCACTGACCCGCCTCAGGTAATGCCGAGTTATTTTACTTACCCGAGGGTTTGAACTTAGGTCTGCTTATCAACTGTTGACGTCTTGACCAACACTGAAAACATGCTTGGAAGTTGGAAATATACAATCAGCCTTGGCCGTAGGGTTTTTTTTTTTTTTTTTTTTTGGTTACTGGCCGTAGAGTTCATTGGCGGCAACGAGGTGCCATTCGCGTTGGTGAAGGGTATACTCAGGGCATACTCACACTAGAACTTTCCCAAATGAATCTGACCTTAGTTACGGCCAGACCAGGATGCATCTGACGGCAATGGCGTCCAGAGCTGAGTAGAAGAAGTCCTATTTTTAGTATGCCCTCCCACGATGACTTTCTCGACTGCAACTTGCCCTGGACTTAGATTTTATTTACTCGGGCTAGGCGACAAGGTCCCATTTGCATTGGTTAAGGGCATGCTCACACCATGCATGACTTCCTGAACTGCGCTCTGGACGTGATTGCCGTCAGATGCATCCAGACCGGGCCGTAATTGAAGTCAGACGCATACATTTACTAGGAGAAGTGCCATGAAGACCGCTGAGGGGAGCACTGGTTTGGCGGACCAGCCGGAACTACCGTCTTCCCCCGAACACAACGCACCCTTATTATAGCTTGTATACATTCATTTTTAGGGTGCGTTATGTTCGGGGGAAGACGATAGCCAGAGTAACTTTACTGGCCTATTATCTTTCTCTCCTCTTCCTTCTTCAGTCTTATGATTATGATGATTATTATTTTTAACTCGGTAGTCGTCTTCCTCTTCCCTCTTCCCTCTTTCTTTCTTCCTCTTTCTTCTGTCTTCTTTAGTCTTACTGTTTCCTGTCTCCTGAATGGTGGTTGGAGCTCTAAGTAGTTTCTTTTCTGATGCTTGGATCACCCTGATGATGATAGATACCTGTTTTCAACATAAGTTCTCGCTGATTATCAACAACAATCAATAACTAAGAGAATGGGCGTAGATCTTATGTATTTACAGACAATGACTTCTTTTTCCTTTTAAACTTAGAGTTGGACCCCACAGGAAAAACGATGGAAAAGACGTCTGGCCATAAAAAGCGGCCGAACGATTTTGGAAAGGTTGGAAACTGTTTTGCCGGGACCCCATAGCGGACTGCGTTTTGCGGCAAAGTGCGCAAGTGATATTCTGTAATAGGAAAGGTGCTGGTTCACCATCCCGAAAAGGAAAGTGGTCGAATGTCCGGAAGGCGTGGGGTGGACCCAAGGAATGACCATGCCGCCTCATGTGGGTGACGCAGGGCAGCGTGTGCGAGAGGCAGAGCGACCTCCCGGTGCTCACTGCTCCAGGATCGGGGTAGGCCAAGGGGCCGGACACTTGCTGGTGCAAACGGTGGGCGTGACCTTGGAAAGAACGCCGCGCACTCCCTCCCTCACTCTCAACTTTCGGCACAGAATTGTGGCGAGATGTCCTCCGGCGCCACCACGCCATAAATTGCGGGTTGTGGGGTTCCGGAAACCAGTATTTGGAAGACATTTCACTTTTGCCAGTCCCTCCGCTGCCTGTGGGGTCGTGGAAAATTTCTTCCTTTCCGCATTCCTGTGGGGTCTGTCAAATTCATATTTTTACAACGTACTACCTACCACTTCTCCTAAGTAGCTTTTAGTACCTGCAGGGACTAAGGCAAGGACCCCACAGGACCGCGGAAAGGAAAAGCTTTGCTGCAAAACTGTTTCCAGGACCTCACAGCCTGCCGCAAACGTCCTGGAAAAGATGAAATTCCTTCCGCAAACCCTTTTCCAGGACTGCACAGACCGAAGATTGCGGCTTGGAAAAACATCGTTTTGTGTTTTCACATAGTCCGCGGCCTGGAAAAGTCTCAGGGGAGGATTCCTCGCCGAAATTTTGTGCCGACTCTAGAGGGTAGGGGGGAGGGCATGTCTTTCCTGGAAAAGTCTCACGGGAGGCAGCAGCAGCAGCCAATAGGGATGAAGAGTGCCACCAAAAAAAAAAAAGAAACCGGGAAAAAAAGAACAAAACAAACGAGTGCCAACGGAAAACAGGCAACGATTGGCTCAACTGATTTCCAAAGGGTTTTCCAACCGCATTTGGTCCTCTGCGATGGGGTCCCGGAAAAAGTACTTTCCGACTTTCCAAAATGACTTGCCCGCTTTTCATGGGCAAACGTCTTTTCCATCCACACTTCAGTGGGGTCCTTGCCTAAGAGAAAAAGAAAAGAGAGAAATACTGTCCGCAGTTAGCGGCAAGCAAATAGCGGCAAAGAAAAAAGAGAAGGACTGTCCGCAGACAGCGCAATAGACAGCCGATGTCAACAGCCCATATCTCTTAATACCATGCAAGTGGCACCTCGCCCCAGGCGGGCCTTCGATATAATGAATCTACGGCCATATGTCATTAAATCGACTTGTTTCTTGATACTGCAGTTGACCTGTACACAATGTTTCTTTCTTCCTTTTTGCTGTCTCTCTCCCTCTCTTCTTTCTCCTTTTTTTCCTCCCAGTTCTTTCTTTCGGTTGGAAAACAAAAATGACACTTTTTATCAGCTGGGAACAGACCCCACCATCCCTCGCTTAGAGAAAGGTGTTGCTTTTAGGAATAAAGGTCACTCTTTTACCAAGCCCTGTGGCTGAATTGGACACCAAGGAAATGTTGATAGACAGACCTAAGCTCGAATCCTGGGGACTCAGATGAATAACATAACGCGGAATAATCTGGGGCCCGTCAGTTCAATGATGGTACCCCAAGGCCATTTCCCTCCCCCCCAAAAAAACACACAAATAAACAGAAATCAATGGGCACCCGTGAGATAATGCCAAGGGGGTTTAAACCACCAGTACTTGGCCCATATGTCGGCCGCGGGCACTGCGCGCTGGCCCGAAAAGCAAGACTGGCCGCCCGCCCTGTGTTTCAGCCAACTGAAAAAAATGCTGGGAAAGGTACTGGTGGTTTGAACGCTTGACCTGCTTGAGGTGACTTGAACCGTTGGAGACTTTTCCTCACGGAGAGGTTTTCCTTCTTTTTCATTGGATAACAAAGGGATAAATTCCAAGTAGAAAATTATCATCGGATAGTCACAACTTCTTTTTTTTTTTTTTTTTTTTAACATGTCTTTGATTCATTAAGCTGGCTGGCGTCCCTTACAAAAACAGTAGCAGGCCGAATTCCAGACCCGGCAACTCCAGCCGGGCATGGGTCCGGACTGCGAAATTGTCTGCTTAAATGTCTCTTCCAAGCAACAACCTGATAGACGAACAGAAATTCCAAACATGTACCCCAACATCAATCTTATCCCATTTTACCATCGATCGTGTGGGTGAAAACTAACTATGCCTAGGTGTTTCTAGGTATGAGCACTACTAAATGTACAGCTATGAATAGAGGTACGAGTACTAGGTCTCACAGAAAGAGTGCCGAGAAAACCAGTGCAGGTCCTGATTGCTGTTGTTCTGTAACTGAAACCAAATCTGAAAAAAGTCTCGAGTGAGAAAGAAATGTGTTCATGGGTTTGGTCCGGTATCCTTTATTCACCACTTTGTGTGTCCAGTTCGTAGCGATGGTCTGTTTTATGTTATATTTAACCTCCGCTCTGACCATAAGGGGGGCAAGCTTTTCTCCCCGTCTCACTGCAGAGTTTCTGAGGGTCCAGAGAGTCCAGAGCACTGCTCCCCTCAATGTTTCCTCTGCATACCCCAAGGGTCCAGCAGCTGTTTGTCGGCGAGATCATCTGACCATCTTGAAGGGGACTGTGGCACTGGCACCGAATCTCCTCGCCACCGTTCCCAGAATGGGGCGGACAGCCGACAGTGGAGAAGCATATGTTGAAGGTCCTCAATTCGTACACCTTCACATAATACACACAGCGATGATGCTCTAGACGTTCTTCTGGTACACCAGTTTGCTGTCAGGACCGCCAGGTGCATAATTTGCCATAAAAAACTCGCTTGTTTGACTACTGACATATCCATCAGCAGTTTCCAGAACCGGGGCAGTGCCGACACCAGCCTCGCTGCCGTATCCTGCACCCAACCCGAAGCAACCCATCTTCTGGCCACCTGCCATCCCACATCTACCAAAGGGCGGGCGAGCTGATACCCCAACCTTGTTGAGTACTGGTACAGTTTAAGCACTTTCCCGGGGGAGAGGGGATGTCCCCATGCCCAATCCCTCGGGTCCACTGGCAGAGAGTATGCTGGCAATGAACTAGCAAAAGGTCTGACCGAGTCCTTATATTCTAAAATACAGACCGGTATAAGCTGGGGCAGGGGGGGAAGAGGGGTCTGTTGATCCATCAGAGTCATGTCCTGTCCCAAAGACAGTTGTGCTCCATTGGCCTCCCATGTCGAGGATGTCGGCACTCCCACATCCGATATGTCCTCTATTTTCCACAGGTAGGTCGAAGGTTGATCTTGTAGTTGGTTGTGTATTGGTCTATACCACGCATCCTTATTTAATGCAATCCCAGCTTGCAAAACCTGAACCCATTCCACGGGCATGGCTTCTCACAAAGCTGTCAGATGGGTGGCTTGATGTCTAAGGCCTGACAGTTTTTGGGCCACCTGGTCTGCAGTTTTCCAGTGGCCCAGTTCCATATCCCATATATCGTACACCGTTCCTTCCCCTCTGGACAACCAGGAATCTCCAAACGCTCCCAAGCCAAAACAGGCAAACGGCATGTCATTTTCTGTCAAGATCATCTGGTTCTCAAACAAGGGTTGGGTGAGGATGCGTTCCATAATCAGTGGAGGCAGGTGCAATGACGGGATACAGTTTCGCCATGCTCTCTCAGTATACGATTCCAAACTCCATCCGGCAATTTCTTCCTCAGATATGGTGCGAAAAATATTGCCAGCCACACACAGCGATCGTCCTTCCATTTCCAACAACTTTTGACACCTGCCTGTGGCTGTATGGTACACAACTTTTATTGACCCTAGAGGTCCAGAGTTCAAATCTTGGGAAATAGAGTAATGGTAGGAGCTATTCTCTCACAGTGAAAAAAAAAACAAAAAATCATTATAGTTTTTTTTTCTTTCCCCCCTTCGAACGGTAGAGAAAATAAGGACAGTCCCTCTGCAAGGAGAACAGAGAAGAAAAAGATTTTGTAGTTTGTCAGGCCCAGCCAATTTGTTTTTGATGCTTTGCAGTCGTCGGGAAGTTGGGAACTGAACCCCAGGACAGAAAAGAAATCAAGGAGTCGTTCCCTGGAAAAGTAGGGGGTGGATCATTAAACCACCAGTACTTGGCCCAGCTATCAAGTCCAGGCCTCCTACCGGAAAAAAGAAAGTTAAAAAAACCCAATGAAACAACAAAAACAAAAAAAACAAAGAAAAGCACAACGGGAATGAATTTGAATTTCCCCGCCCCCGCATTCATTCCCGTTGTGCACGTTCGCAAGAGAGAGAGAGAGAGAGAGAGAGAGAGAGAGAGAGAGAGAGAGAGAGAGAGAGAGAGAGAGAGAGAGAGAGAGAGAGAGAGAGAGAGAG